TCAAATTCCTGACCTCCGGTGATCCACCCGCCTCGGCCTCCAAAGTGCTGGGATTACAGGCTTGAGCCACTATGCCTGGCCTGGCTGACAGTTTTTATCAGGAATGGGTGTTGAGTTTCTGTTAAATATTTTTCCTTCATCTATTGAGTTAATTACGTGGTTTTTGTTTTGTATTCTTAATGTAGTATATGGTAATATTACTTGATTTTCAGATAGTAAGCCAATCTTGCATTCATGGTATAAACCCCACTTAGACCCACTTATCTGGTGTAGAATCATTTTTACACGTTGCTGGTTTCAGTTTGTTAATATTTTGTTGAGGATTGTTAAATCTATATTCATGATAGATATTTTCTTGTGATGCCTTTTTCTGGTTTTGGTATGAATGTAATGCTAGCTTTATAGAATAAGTTAGAAAGTATACCCTCCTCTATTGGATCATTACTATGAACGTAGAAAAGATTTTCTTTTCCTTTTTTTTTTTTTTTTTTGAGACAGAGTCTCGCTCTGCTGCCAGGCTGGAGTGGAGTGCAGTGGCACTATCTATGGATAGTGGTGAACCTTATATATACTGTTTGTTCTGATAACCAAGATGACTACTAAGTAATTACAGGATAGGAAGCATATACAGTGTGAACATGTTGGACAAAGGGATGATTCATGTCCCAGGCAATATGGTAAGAGATTTCATTACACTACAAAGAATAATGCATAATTTGAAACTAATGAGGGCCAGGCGCGGTGACTCATGCCTGTAATTCCAGCACTTTGGGAGGCCGAGGAGGGTGGATCATGAGGTCAGGAGTTCAAGACAAGCCTGGTCAACATACTAAAAATACAAAAATTAGCCAGGCGTGGTGGCACACACCTGTAATCCCAGCTACTCAGGAGGCTGAGGCAGGAGAATTGCCTGAACCCAGGAGGCAGAGGTTGCAGTGAGCCAAGACCGCGCCACTGCACTCCAGCCTGGGCATCAGAGCAAGACTCTGTCTCAAAAAAAAAAAAAAAAAAAAGAAAAGAAACTTATGAATTAATGATTTCTGGGTTTTTCCACTTAATATTTTCAGACTGCAGTTGACTATATGTAACTGAAACTGTGGAAAGCAAAACCATGGATAAGGGAGGATGAGATCTTAAAGTCCAATCAGTCCACTCTCAGGTAGCCTGGCAGCAAGAGTTCAAGTGCTATGGCTGGAGGCCAGGAAAACAGCTTTCCAGCTGAACACTACAGGTTTGTCTCAGTGCTCACCATCTGCTGAACACCTCAAAAAAACCAAAACAATGAATACAACACAATGCCACAGACCAAATGTTTTTTATTTGATGTAATGCTGGCTTGCTTCCAAAGCAGTACATCCTAATCAGTACTGATTTTCAGCTCCACCAATAGGTATTGGTTGGACATGCCCAAATTAGTGTAGATTCACCATGACCTATTGAATACTTTTGAGTGAAGAAAAGCTAAACAAATTTTAAGAAAATCGGGCTGGGTAGCCGAATGCAGTGGCTCACGCCTGTAATCCCAACACTTTGGGAGGCCGAGGCGGGTGGATCATGAGGTCAGGAGATCAAGACCATCCTAACACTGTGAAACCCCGTCTCTACTAAAAATACAAAAAAATTAGCCAGGCATGGTGGCGGGCACCTGTAGTCCCAGCTACTCAGGAGGCTGAGGCAGGAAAATGGCGTGAACCCGAGAAGGTGGAGCTTGCAGTGAGCCGAGATCGCACCACTGCATTCCAGCCTGGGGGACAGAGCAAGACTCCGTCTCAAAAAAAAAAAAAGAAAAGAAAAAAAAATTGGGCTGCGAAAGAGTCAAGTGAAAAAAACAACTCTTTGTAAAGCACCTTTAAATTGCTACGAGCTAATATTCATTGAGCTCTTGCTGTTAGGTATTATTATTTTTTTGAGAAGGAGTCTCACTGTCGCCCAGGCTGGAGTGCAGTGGCGCGATCTCAGCTCACTGCAACTTCCGCCCCCCAGGTTCAAGCGATTCTCCTGCCTCAGCCTTCTAAGTAGCTGGGATTACAGACGTGTGCCACCACACTTGGCTAATTTTTCTATTTTTAGTAGACATGGGGATCTCACCATGTTGGCCAGATCCAACTCCTGAACTCAGGTGATCCGCCCACCTCGGCCTCCCAAAGTGCTGGGATTACAGGTGTGAGCCACTGTGCTTGGCCTAGGTATTATTATAAGCACATTTAGGTATATCTGCTCATTTAATCCTCAAAAACTAACAAACAAACAAACGAAAAACCCTATCAGCTGGGGAGTGCTTTTATCCCGTCTACAGATGAGGAAACTAACAGGACAGAAGTGAAGTGACATTGTACTCAGACACACAGCTAATAAAATAGAAAGGCTAGGCTGGGCGTGGTGGCTCATGCCTGTAGTTGCAACACTTTGGGAGGCTGAGAAGATCACCTGAGAGCAGGAGACCAGCCTGGCCAAGATGGTGAAACTCCGTCTTTTCTAGCAATACAAAAATTTTAGCCGGGCATGGTGGTGTGCACCTGTAGTCCCAGCTACTCAGAGGGCCAAGGCACAAGAACTGCTTGAACCCAGGAAGAGGCTGCAGTGAGCCGAGATCACACCACTGCACTCCAGCCTGAGTGACAGAGTGAGACTCTGTCTCAAAAAAAAAAAACATAGGCTGAGATTTCAACTGAGTCTACCTAGAGAAACTATAACAACCACTAAGCAACATTGCTGCCCTATTTGTATATTTGTCCCGTGGAACTATGTTTCTCTTCTGCTCAAAACTCTCCTATAGTTCCCCTTTTAATCAGGGTCAAAGCCAAAGGTCTTACAATGGCCTACAAGGCCCTAAGTGACTTGCTTCCCATTGCTACTCTACACCATTTCCACTGACCCACTGCATTCCAGCAACCTTGCTCTTCCTACATCACACTACACCTGCTTCTACCTCAAGGTCTGTCCTTGCTGTTCCCACTGCCTGTTATACTCTTCCCTGAGACAGTAGTGGCTTGCTCTCACATTTCCATCAGAACCCTACACAGTGTTACCTCCTTGGACTACCCTATTTAACACAGTACTCCTCACCCTTTCCACACTTAATTAAAACCACCTAGCAGTAACACCACCCTCTAAAATATAAGCTACATGACAACAGGGACATCTAGGAGTCTGGCTTGTACCATTTGTGTCTAGGACACCACCCGGCACACAGGAGATAATGCTTAAAAACTGGCCATATACGCTTTGATTCACAACCCAATTAAATAACTTCAGGCAGCAAATCATGCCTCTGTGCCAATAAAACCCAAACCAAGGCTGGGCGCGGTGGCTCACACCTGTAATCTCAGAACTTTGGGAGGCCGAGGTGGGCAGATCACGATGTCAGGAGATGGAGACCATCCTGGCTAACACGGTGAAACATCACCTCTACTAAAAACACAAAAAAATTAGCTGGGTGTGGTGGCACACGCCTGAAGTCCCAGCTACTCGGGAGGCTGAGGCAGGAGAATAACTTGAACCTGGGAGGCAGAGGTTGCAGTGAGCCAAGAGGGTGCCACTGCACTCCAGCCTGGGCGACAGCGAGACTCCGACTCAGAAAAAAAAAAAGAAGAAGAAGAAAAGGATATATCAAAGCAGTCTTGTAGAATCTTTATGATTAAAAACCTGGTCTTCCTTGGGCCAGGCACGGTGGCTCACGCCTGTAATCCCATCACTTCGGGAGGCCGAGGCAGGTGGATCACGAGGTCAGGAGATCGAGCCCATCCTGGCTATCACGGTGAAACCCCGTCTCTACTAAAAAAACAAAAAAAAAAAAAAAAATAGCAGGGCATGGTGGGTGGGCACTTGTAATCCCAGCTACTCAGTAGGCTGAGGCAGGAGAATGGCGTGAACCCAGGAGGCAGAACTTGCAGTGAGACGAGATCGCGCCACTGCACTCCAGCCTGGGGGACAGAGTGAGACTCTGTCTCCAAAAAAAAAAAACCAAAACCTGGTCTTCCTTAATGTATATATGTTGACATCTCCTTTAAAGGGTTAAGTTTCTTTGGAATGACTTGATGATTTTGAGAAACTATATACACCACCTAAAGAATTGGTAGAAGTGTAAATTCTTAATCAGTTACTAGTAATAATCATTGTCTTGAAGGGGAAAATAACCCCAAGTTGACAACAGATGCCTGTCCTTCCAGATAAAATGAAATTATTCAACGCACTGGGTTGACTTAACACTGCAAGTAAATAAATAACACATCGAACTTTAAGCTTGTTTAATTTTCATGAGACTAATTTCTTAGCTACAGCTGTCAAAACAGGTAACTAGCCCTAAGTGGGCAAAATGTGCCTTAAAAAAAAAAAATTAAAAACAGGTTTTAGAAAACTTATTTTATTTGTGTAATTTTCGAATACACATTTGCTTTTCTTTGGGTTTAAGCGCAGTTAAGTCACAGGAACTGTTAACTTTTCCTAAGTAAACTCAATGCTTCCTAGGAGAGAGAAGAGGAAAGAGAAAAGGGGGAGAACACACGGAAAAGTGAGGACAACCTATTTGACAAAGGACAGGTTTTGCATGGCGAACCACCTTCTTCCGAAACTGCAGATTTCCAGAAGGTTGATTTCAAACAAATCGGGAGGGATGGATAAATTCCAACTCTCCAAGTGTTGTAGACCATCCGGAAGCAAATGCCGGCGGCCCCTGGGGAGTGATCGAAACGTGTAGTAGTAGCAGGGCTCTCTTCGTCCCATTCATTGACACTTGATAGTGTCTCCAGAACACTCACCTCCGTTCTAGCTGAGCACAAGTCACACTCACCAAGGAAGCTGGTGGGAGTCGGACACACACCCAGACGTACACCCACACCCTTGGCCCCAGGGCTGTAAAGCGCGATCCACGGAATCCAGAGGAGACCGAAACCCAGGAGTCGATGGAACCTCTCACTGCAAAATCTCCCCGCTTTCTGAGGCTGAAGCCGAGAAGAACGCCACAGGACAACGCAGGGGAAGAGGGGGCACCTCCCCCTTACCTTGATGGCTTTCTCCATGTCGCTCTCCTCCGACATACTCAGTGGGGACCCCACAGCCGGGAGAGGCAGAGGCTGCGCAGCCGCCCTGTACCCGCGTGGCCGAGGAAGCAAAGGGCTCGGCTCTCGGGCCCCTGGGCCTCGTGACGACGGGAGGCAGCCGCCCCTCGGGACCGGTGGGGATGAAGACCCCGGAGCCGGCTCTGCTTCGGCGGGCGGCTCTAGGCTGGCGGCAGCAGCAGCGGCGGAGGCGGCGGCCCCTGGGGACAAGTCTTTGTGCTGGGCCCCGCGCGGCCGCCTCCTAGCCTCATCCCCGGCTGGGGAGTCAGGCTCCCGGGGTAGGGCGAGGCGGGGAGGGCCTCCACCCGGGGCGCTGTGCAGGGGCCTCGTGGGGCCGCCGCTTAGACCCGGGCTCGCCAGGTCCTAAAGAGGAGCCTGCGCCTCCGCCTCCGCCGCCTGCACCGCCGCGAAGCCGAAGCCGAAGCCGAAGCAGAGCTCGGCGCCGCTGCTCCCGCCGCCGCCTCAGCGCCACACATCGCCGGGACACCCGCGCCGGGCAGCCCCGCCGGCCGCCCTCACGCACGCGCTGTGCTCCCCGGGAGCTCCGGGCCGCCCCTTTTGCCGCCCAGCTTCGTGACTCCACGGCCCCACGCGCCCCTTGCTGCCTTCAGCTGGGGTTTCCAAGCCGCCCCGAAGCCGCGCACCCGACTTGCAGGCGCCCGCCTGGGCCTCCCTAAGTAGCGCCGCTTACAGAACAGGCCCCTGGACCTTCCGCGGCGATGGCGCTGCGCTAATGACGTCATGGGTCCGGACTCGCGTGAGTGCGCGTGCGTTGGAGCCTCAGCCTTTATCTCCACTCTGCGGAGATTCACGCCTGGGAAACGCTCTTCTGAGAGGACCCATGGAGGTCAACCCGGGAGAGAGAAGAGAGGACTGAAGCACCTAAAGTGTCCTGCCTTAAGGGAGCAGGATTGTGTAGAATATATAATAGCAGTAGCAGCTGTGTTTACGGAGCATTAACCTTACGTGGAGCTCTTTCCTACGTTACCTCCTTTCATCTTTACAAGGGAGCCATTTGGTGTTGTGAGGTATGGATGTTCCCATCCCTAATTTGCAGAATAGGTAACTGAGGCTCAAGAGAGCTAGTTTACGCACAGCCGAGAAGTGGTCAAGTTAGAATGGGACCCCAGGTTTGTGCTCCCTACTCTCCACCGATAACCTATCAAAGGGCTTTGAAAGAGCTTTTGACTAATCGCCTCTCAATGGTTCTTCATTCACTTATTAATTGCACATCAGTATGTGCCAAATCTACTAGACATTGGAGAAACAGTAGGAACAAGACACGGTACCGGCACATGGATCTTTCAGGAAAAGGAAGTAGGTAATAAACAGGAAAAAGCCCGAGTCTGATGCTAAGAAGAACATAAACAGGATGCTGAGGTAAGAGAATAACGGGATGTGGAGACTGCTTCGTATTAGATTATTAAGGAAGGAATCTCAGGAGGTAACATTTAAGCTGAGACCCCTGAGGAATGAGAAAGGGCTGGCTATTGGAAATCCAAGGAAAGATTTCTGAGCAGATGGGTAAAAAATTTAAGGTGGAAATATGCTAAATATGTTCAAGGATCAGCAAGAAGGTCATTGTAGCTGGAGTAGATCGAGTAGGAGGAGACTGATAAAGGATGAGGCTGGAGGCCGGGCGCGGTGGGTCATGCCTGTAATCCCAGCACTTCAGGAGGCCAAGGTGGGCAGATCACTTGAAGTCAGGAGTTCGAGATCAGCCTGGCCAACATGGTGAAACCCCGTCTCTTTTTAAAAAAAATTTTTTTAAAAAGTATAAAAAGGATGAGGTTGGAGATGTGGGCAGTGGCTTCATCATATGTGGCCTTTGGGGGTCATAATCAGGACTTTGGATTTTATTCTAAGCTATTGTAAGGTTTTAAACTAAAGAGTGGTGTGATCAAATTTGTTTTAAAATATCACTCTGCTTTGTAAAAATGGAATATAGGAAAGCAAGAATGGAAACAGAGCTATTAGGCTATTGGAGAATAATGCAGTTGAGAGATTATTACACTGTCTGAACTAAGGAGGTGGCAGTAAAGGTGTAGAGAAGATGGATTTTTTTTTTTTTTTTTAAATAGGGTCCCACTGGCTAGAGTGCAGTGGCATGATCACAGCTCACTGCAACCTAGACCTCCTGGGCTCAGGCAATCCTCCCACCTCAGCATCCTGAGTAGCTGGAACTACAGGGACATGCCACCACGCCTGGCTAATTTTTCGTATTTTTTTGTAGAGATGGAGTCTCTCCACATTGTCCAGGCTGCTCTCCAACTCCTGAGTTAAAGTGATCCACTTCCCTTGGCCTCCCAAAGTACTGGGATTACAGGCGTGAGCCACTGGGCCTGGCTGAGAAGATGGATTTAAGACATGTTTCGGAGGTAACATTTTCAGGACTTCCTGAAGGATTAGATGTGGAAGGGGAGGATAAGAAACAGACCAAGGATAACTTTCACATGTATGCTTAAGCAACTGGATGGATAATGATGCCACTGAGTGAGTGAAAAACTTGATGGAAGTGGAAGATTCAGAGTTCATTTCTATCTAGGTTAATTTGAGACATACCAGAGCATAAGTAATTGAATATTGGAGTGGAGACTTAGTTGTCTACCGAATTATTATTTTCTTTGTTGGACATACACCTACACTGCATTATCAAAGTAAAATAAGTGTGGCTCTTTGCCTATGCTCTGCCCAGCAGAAAGCGAGCAGAAGAGGTGTGCACAGTTTCCAGGCCTGGCCCATACAGACCTCCAACAGGTGCTCCCCTGTGTTCTTACTCCTTCTGCCACCTGGAAGCAGATGGTGACCAGGCTCTGGAGAAGGCAAGGCCTGAAGATGAGAGATTCCTGAGTGGAGGAGAACTGTGCCTTACTGACCTAAATATCCACTCAGTATTGTTATGTGAGAATAAAGAAACTTAGGTTGACCTTTTACTTACTTTGAGTCTTTTGTTCTAGCAGCTTTGCCTATGCTACCTACTATGAATAAGAGCAATCATCCGGCAGTTAACTTCGGGAGAAAATTTTTAAATGACTTGAATTGACATCTGTAATAGGAAATATTCGTGCAAAAGTAATTGTGGTTTTTGCCATTTAAAAGTAATGGCAAAAACTGCAATCATTTTTGCACCAACCTATATAGAAGATGCCCGGGATTCATTCATTTCCTCCAGTAAGAATTTCTCTCTGCCAGGCTCTGTGTCTTGTAATACAGATGCAGAGATGATGTCATATAATAGAGATGCAATGATGAAGAGACAAGGTCCCTGCCCTCAGGCAGCTTTTAGTCTAGCTGCTCAACTTACTTATTTGCACATGCTTTCCCACTACCTAGAAACTCTTCCCTCCTAACACACACACATACACACACACACAAACACACACACACGCACACCCTAGTTTCTACTCATTCTTCAACCTTATTCTTCTTTGAGGTGGAGCCTTGCTGTGTCCCCTAGGCTGGCGTGCAAGGGCGCAATCTCGGCTCACTTCCGCCTCCTGAGTTCAAGTGATTCTCCTGCCTCAGCCTCCCAAGTAGCTGAGATTACAGGTGCCTGCCACCACACCCGACTAATTTTTGTATTTTTAGTAGAGACAGGGTTTCACCATGTTGGCCAGGCTGGTCTCGAACTCCTGACCTTAGGTGATCCGCCCACCTCAGCCTCCCAAAGTGCTGGGATTACAGGCATGAGCCACCACACCTGGTCAATTCTTGATAATGTTTTTTCAGAAAGACATGCCTTGCCCATACCCTCCTTTCCTAATCTAAATCAGATGTTCCTATTATCCTGTTGTAACTAAATAGTCTCAACAAGGGAAAGAATCTTTTTTGTCTTATTGGTCATATGTCCCTAATACCCAGTCCATTGTAGGTACTTAATAAATTTATCCGTTGAAGGAATCAATGAATGGAGAAGGCAGAACCCTGAAGAAAGCGGTTTCTTCCAATGAAATTCCTCTATTGTTTGCTGGTGAGGCTGCCCTGGTTCACAGCCTTCAGTGATGCTCACCTCCTGGTACTTATGATCTTATGTAGTCCTCTCACCCTGCATGTGGGCTGGATCAAGTGGTTTGCTTCCAGTGAACGGATGTCATGTTCAAGATTAGGTTACAGAAACACTCTGGCTTCCAATGGGGCCCTCTCTGACTCTTACTCATTTGCTCTTAGGGAAGCTGGCTCACTTGGTTCCTAAAGCTGCTGTAATAAGGTATCACAAATTGGGTGGCTTAAAACAACAGAAGTTGATCCTCACAGCTCCAGATGCTAGAAGTCTGTAATGAATGTGTCAGCAGAGGCCAGGCACTGTGGCTCACTCCTTTACTCCCAGCACTTTGGGAGGCCGAAGCAGGCAGATCACTTGATGACAGGAGTTCGAGACCAGCCTGGCCAACATGGTGAAACCCCGTCTCTACTAAAAATACAAAAAAAAATTTGCCAGTGGTGGTGGTGGGCACCTGTAATCCCAGCTACTCTGGAATCTGAGCCAGGAGAATCACCTGAACCGGGGAGGCAGAGAGGTTGCAGTGAGCTGAAATTGTACCTGTGCACTCCAGTCTGGGCAACAGAGCAAGACTCTATCTCAAAAAAAAAAAAGTGGCCAGGCACAGTGGCTCATGGCCAAGGTGGGCAGATCACGAGGACAGGAGATTGAGACCATCTCGGCTAACACGGTGAAACCCCATTTCTACCAAAAATACAAAAAAGTAGCCAGGCATAGTGGTGGGCACCTGTAGTCCCAGCTACTCGGGAGGCTGAGGCAGGAGAATGGCGTGTTCCCAGGAGGCAGAGCTTGCAGTGAGTCAAGATCACGCCACTGCACTCCAGCCTGGGTGACAGTGTGAGACTGTCTCAAAAAAAAAAGTCAACAAAGCCATGTTCCCTCTGAAGGCTACAGGGAAGGCTCCTTCCTTCCGGTGGCTTTGGACAGTCCTTGGCATTCTTTGGCTGTATCACTCCAGGCTGTGCCTCTGTCTTCACATGGCCTTCCCTGTGTGTCTCTCTGTGTACTCTCTTATTAATAACAGTCGTTGGATTTAGGGTCCAACATCATCCAGCATGATCTCATCTTAATTACATCTGCAAAGACCCTATTTCCAAATAAGGTCACATTCTGAACTTCTGTGCAAACATGAATTTGGGGGCAACATACTATTCAGTCCATTAGAGATACGTCGAGGAACTAACGTCTCTTACCAGCTGCCAGTGAGTACCTAAGGACTACCAACACATACATGAGCTTGGACAGGATACTCACCAAATTGAGCCTTTAGCTGACAGCATCCTCAGCCCACAACATGATCGTGGCCCTGTGAGAGTCTCTATGCCAGGCGCACCCAGCCAAGCCATACCCAAATTCCCGTCCCACAGAAACAGATTTTTTTTTTTTTTTTTTTTTTTGAGACGGAGTCTCGCTCTGTCGCCCAGGCTGGAGTGCAGTGGCCGGATCCCAGCTCACTGCAAGCTCTGCCTCCCGAGTTTACGCCATTCTCCTGCCCCAGCCTCCCAAATAGCTGGGACTACAGGCTCCGCCACCTCGCCTGGCTAGTTTTTTGTGTTTTTTAATAGAGACGGGGTTTCACTGTGTTAGCCAGGATGGTCTCGATCTCCTGACCTCGTGATCCACCTGTCTCGGCCTCCCAAAGTGCTGGGATTACAGGCTTGAGCCACCGCGCCCGGCCAGAAACAGATTTTTTAATGTTGTTTTAAAGTACTAAATTTGGCCGGGCACGG